ACCTCTCAACACATCAGAGATCACAGCTAGGTCTGGTGTGGTGTGGTTTGTTGACCACAGCCAGCCGTGATAGAGGATTGCATTGTATTACAACTCTACAGCACTGTGTGTGCAATGTACATCTCCTTCAGATTAGGTATAACTTTTATTCAATAGAGTCTACAGCAATGCTAGCAGCTTAGGGTTTTAGCATTATAACAAAGTACAGCTGAGGGTGAAGGGAATGAAAGATCACGTCTGATACTAAGTTAAGTATATTTGTGATCATGGTGTTAATGAAAAGAGCATGTGAGTGAACACCCACACAACCTGTTTCTACACAGTCAGGGTGTCATAATTAACAACACAGGAAGAGTGCCCTTCTTTTTAATGAGTGAGGAAACAGGAAATACAACATTTTCCTGCGGCAACGTCCTTCTGAACACCACCATTGATTTTCTGTAGCAGGTCACAATTACACTTGATATATATTCCCAGTTTCCCCTGCAGTGTTTCTCCTTGCAGAATGTATACTTAGACATTTGTGTGAATGTGGTACTGTGTAAATGAAGGAATATTGGTGACGTGCCCATACGTGTATGCTTTTTGCTGAAATCTTGTCAACTTTACTTATTTTGCAAATCACTGTGTAGCACTTTAATTCTGGTCTATATTCCTCTCAAATTCAAACAAATATTTCTGTCTACTAGACACTGCATAATTATATATTCTATATATTTCCAAGTACACTGTATTGTCTGATCAACGTAATTTCAAATTTGTTCTAACTTGATTTTTGGAAAAGTGACCGTAATATTCTTATATAAGTATGTTTGCAGGGCGCGGTAGTGTTTAAAACACATTTGCACCTAGCAATCTTTCAAAGCTACACATTTTTCCTATCTTGCACCATATCTGTTAAGCAACACATTATTTTAAGTTTTTATTTGTTTGAAAACTATCAACACATGACATTTCACCCATTTGCCTGCAATGTGGCAAGTGATAAAAACATGCCCATGGCTAATGCACACAGAAATGGGAGGCAGAGAGCTTTTAACATAGGGGACATTCACTTCTAGACAAATAAGGCTGTAGCCTTGAATAGATGTAGAGGTGTTTGATACTCATCAGGTTGAGGTGTAAGCAGTTACACAAATCTCTAATGAGTCCAAACACACAGGATACAGTGACTAGAATATTTTGAGGTGTAGTCAAGCTTGAAGGTGCATTCATATAGAGCCAAGATATGAATCTGCAAAGAAAAATAAGTGATCATTAAAGATCTTCTAAATGACTTTTGTTAATGTACAGCTTTGTTAGAGAACTTTTAGTTGACCGTAGCTTAACAGAAATCATTCCACAGTTCCATAGCCAGAAGAAAAATTGCAAAGACTCATTAATTTCTAAGTGCTGAATAGGAAACCATCTAATAGTAGTTAAAAGAGGACATTTTTATTAACACTGCTAGGTATTTATCAAAATTATATGTTGTGAGGTCTTTACTGGAACCCAGTTACTATTAAACCAAAGTCAAACAAACAAACAAACAAACAGGAAACTCAAAGACAAACATAAAGAAAGTCTATGACTCCAGATTAGAATGTCTCTCTCTCTCTTGTAAGTTAGAGATATTATAAAATATATTAGCATAAAGAACTTGTCAACAAAAATGATCCCAACTGTTTCTGAAGGACTTGAAAAGCAATTTACGGAAGAAATCGATTGATCTTTGCTGCTTATTGCTGGGCCAGTAATTAAGGGTTATTTTGCTCGTGTCAATAAAATCAACTCATCTTGGTCATGAGTTGTTATAACAAGACAAGTAAAGAACAACCTTGCAAAATACTTTGTTAAAGAAAATATTCCCATATGGAAGTCAAACAAATGAGAAAAAACAGAACGCAACCTTTCAAATGTTTACATGATAAATCAACAACCACAAGCAAACAATTTTTGAAGGCCATTGTACAGTAGGTTGCTTAATTTTACTCTCTAACATGGGAGGTCACTTCCCCTGTGCTTAATGTTACTCTGCAATCGCTCTATTTGTCTTAAGACAGAACCTTCCATTACATAATGATCTCCTCTCACAGTTTTGTCCCTAATTGAAAGGATCCATTATTTTTTATTGTTCAGGACAGGACATTTGTATCAAAGGGTTGCAGCTAATGAGCAGAGACTTGAAAGAAGAGCACAGAAATTAACTTATATTACTGAGTTTGGTCTTATTTAATTTTGTTCACTCCGACCTACTCGCTCAAAAGTAAAAACACCCATTTATCGCAATTTGCTCACTGAGGACATGTGTTAAAGTGGCATTGACCCTTTGCCAAAAAACCACATCCAACTCTGAATAGATAAACAGAGCAAGCATAAAGGATATTACCGCTGTGAATATAATGTCTACTTAGTCAAATAAAAATGTGCTTAGCTCCTCCAAATGCAGTAATATAAATTCTGGCTGATTGTGTAATTCCAGCCTTCTCTTAACACTTCTGATAATATAAGAAACAATCACTGTTTTTGTTTACACTTAAGTTAAGGTCTGCCAAAAATACAACAGTGATGGTCTCAAAACAAACTGCTCCAAGTCCTCATCTAAACTCAGCAGTTTGTGTACAGAATGGCAGGAATTCTCTAAAAAAAACAACAGCAAGAGGCAAAAACACCACGAAAGAATAACGAAGTTTCAAGGGATATAAATGAATATTTAATAAGAAAAACTGAGTGAATGCTGTTTCATACTGTGTCCTTTTCAATGTTTAATGCAGATCCAGATGCTGTTGCTCTTAAGTGAGATGAAACATGATGTTGCATGGCTGTGTTAATAAGAAGACAAGCACACACTAACGTATGCATACAGTACATGTACGCTCACTGAGACACAGCAGCAGCAGCAACTGGGCCCGACAGCTAAACCCATCACTGATGCTGCTCCTACAACCTCCACTGGGACAAGAGGAAACAGGGAGAAACACAACTAAGAGAAGGGAATCTAGCTATGAGAAAGGTTTGATTTAGTCAAATGTTTCATGCCTTTCTCACCAAATATAAAATGCATTACCCATGAGCAGTAACAAACCAGGAGGTCGGCATACTTCAGAGAAGCAGCACTTTTGAGTGCCTCTTCATATGAGGAGAAGTGTGTTTCACGATTACTGCAAAATAAAATGCTTTGAATGTGTGAAGGCTCTGGGTCATTACCCTAACCAAAAAGTACAGAACTGTGTGCTGTTGGACATCCTTCCGTTGCCCTCTCCAGAGAACACCTGCTTGACTGTCTGTCTACCTGTTTGCCATTTAGATCTGCCTCCATTATTCAAAACCTTGACGATGGGGAACAAGGGGAACTTGTGTGTGTGTGTGTTGTGTGTGTGTGTGTGTGTGTGTGTGTGTGTGTGTGTGTGTTGGGGGAAGGGGTCTTGTGTTCCTTGTGAGGAGCATGGAGTTGTGACAGGTAGATAACACCTGGATGAATAATTCAAATTGGCGTAAGCTAGCTGAGTCAGTGACAAGACAAGAAAGAAAACATACGACATGTGAATAAATCATCAGAGGAGGGACTAATAGGCCAAGCACAGGAGAGGACAAGACTGATAACATCTCTTGCTATCTCCTGCTCTAGCTTTAATCATTCCAACAACCTTGTACATGAATATTCCGGATCTTGCCAGCCATACTAATGTGTGAGGATGTAACTGTATGGTGTCTTATCATGCAGCATTACCACCAGGACTAGTCAGACTAGCCCACCAACATTTAAAAACAGCATGACAACCTTGGGGACTGCTGACTGATGTTAGAGACTGAAAAAAAAGACACAAGATGTGATACACTAGTCTATTCAGATAGAGTAAGGCATTATAATATTATTGTTTATACCATGGTCTGAGTGAATACTCGATTCTGATTGGCTGCGGGTGTCCATTAATTTCACACACATTGGGGATGGTATTGGCCAAGAAACTTTTAAATTATTGAGGAATTGAAAAGAAATCAGCATTCTAGTTAATTTAGCATTTATAAGGTCATCAAATAAGCTTCAAACAGAAAAGGAAACTGGACCAAATTCAACTCTAAAAAATAAGACATGATTTCTGTCTCATGTCTTCTGTAGATCTCACTGTCCATTCACTGAAAGTGATGAAAAGCAAATTGTTTGCTAACAGGTAAGGCTGCTCAATTAATCGAAATCATGATTACAATTTTGGAGCCAAACAATCTCAAAACTAATAAAATCGGAGGGAAACGATTTTTTTTTTCATTTTCTGTTGTGCAACGTTGTATAGAAAAAGCTGAGCCCCTGAATTGGGACACAGCCACAGTCTGCGTATTTCGCGCGTGGTTATTTCCGTCCCTCCCCCGCAGCATGCACTGCACATCATGCACTCGGTATACTCGCTGTTCCCGACCTGTCGCGCGACAATGTGAAGTCACAGGACCGCCGTAACTATTTATACTTGCGCCGGTGGTCGCGACACTAGTTGCTAGTTGAGTCTTCTCCTGTCAAGTTGTTTTCGTTTGAACAGGTAAGTTTAAAAAAAATAATCGTTTGAATAATCGTGATTTCAATTTTGACCCAAATAATCGTGATTTATGATTTTTTACATAATCGAGCAGCCCTACTAACAGGAGGCTAGAGGGTTGGTACAAGCACTCACGCACTTGCCCAAGTCTTTGTCATGCAATTCATCCTCAATGAAGACGCATTGTCTATTACTCACAAGCACAGATGCATGAATGCACACATGCACAACACAAAAACTGAAACGCATTCACATTTTTCTTCCTTGTTTTACCACTCCAGCTCAAGTGAGAAACTGCCATTTTCCACCCAAACACCAGACTGAAATTTTAATCCACAGCAGTGAGCCAGAAAGCTGAGACAGGGAGATGTAAAGTAAAGCTCATTGAAACAAACTGTTAATGACAACAAAGCTGTTTCAGAATAGTGCAGCAGCCACTCAGATGGACATTTCACAAATACGTATATTAAAAAAATGTAGTGAAAGTCTGACCTGTTCTTTGAGAACAAAAAGTGAGAGCTACTCTGCTGAGTAATTCTGGTTTTGCGTATTGGTCCTCATCAGCCCGCACCCAGAAACAGCTCTCTGACATTTCCTGGGGACGAATCTGAAAACACATATCCACAGTACAGCACACTTAGTTAACACAGGGTTCTGTATTTTACAGATTATAGTGACTACAGAGGGAAATGTCACTGTAAAGAAACTCATTCAGCAGATATTAGTCACATGTAAAAAGCTACAAAAGACTATTCCAAATGAACTTGAGAGTTCTTGTACAACAGTTATCCTGCCAATTAAAGTGAATATTTGGAATTACATTCTTGTTAACAGGTTGCATGATACCCATGTTCAATTTACTGTGGAGGAGTTGGCACACTCTTTGTCCTTTTATCCTTCCTCTGAATACTACAGCTAGGCATAAAAGCATTTCATACCAAAGCACAAACAACTTTGGCTAGTTTTTGCCATTTACCACGCTCCAGAGAATCCTGAATTGCAGCTGACAGTAAAATAAAATCCAATGCAAACTTTATGTTTTTCATTTGATGTATCAACTTACAGGCATATATTGCATCCATCAGCATAGAAACACACACACACACACACACACACACACACACACACACACACACACACACACACACACACACACACACACACACACACACACACACACACACACACACACACAGCTACAATGGACATCACTAATGATATGTCCATGTGCCCCTGTATCTGATAGTTGTGTACATTGACAACTCCTTGCTAACTCAGTAGTTATTAGAAAGTAACTAGCCAACAGTGTGCCAAGGCTATGCAGATGCCAGGTTGTTCTTCATGTCTGTCAAAAATAGTGACATCACTGAGGTCTAATCATTAAAATGTTTAGTCGTTACTCTCTAAAACTGGCTGAGCCACTCAGCAGTAGTTGGAAGTTTTAAATCGTAACAGCTTTGTCCCAAACATAACCATATGTGGGGGTCTCACACAGCTATGCCATAAGTCCTCCTCATGTCCTACTAACAGGTTCACTTGAAATTCCAAGCATATGTTTTAGTTTGCTGAACACCTGTACCAATGTTCATCTGAGATTTAATTATTAATCAAACCACAAACTAATATCACTTGTGGTGTGAACCAATATTGCTCTGCAGAGAGCAACATCTGCAGGCAAAGACTGCTCTGACAAGCATCTGATCATCTGTTATTTTCAGTTATTGCTGGCTTGGCACAGAGGTAGAAAGTTGTTGTTTAATTCTTAGAGAAACATCTGTAGTGTTCAGATGCTGCCAATGAACATCAGGAACAAACAAATAAAGGGCACTATAAATACCCGGCCTAAATTCTTAGTTAGTTATCCCAAACTTTTTTGTTAACCCTAATAAAAAAACACATCTCCCTGTTATCAGTTAGAAGATTCACCTCTAAAATGTACTGCAGCCCACTATACTGAGAGATCTGGATCCTATACTGAGAGATCCTTGGAATAACTTCTTTTGTGAAACTTAAACGAGGCGTTGATTTGACTTCACAGTAACTTTTTGAGGCTTTAGTTATTAGACTACATTGTGCTGAGATGTTTTTCCTATATTATGTCCCTGTCATTTTTTTAAAGATATCTTTATTTTATAAGACAGTTAAAGATATACTGGAAAGGGGGAGAGAAAGGTGGGATGACATGCAGCAAAGGACTCAGCCTTCATGGGGCATGCTCTTTACCAAATGAGCTACGGTGCATTCCACGTCACCCTCATGTATGAAAATGGAGTGGTTAAATATTAGAAACACTCAGTGTCTTACCTTGGACCAGTTGAGGCGCTTCATGGAGGTCTCTGGCTTGAAGTCCTTCTTAGGCCTGAGGCCATAAGGCAGTGAATGGTGAGTGGGGGAGCCTAGAGCACCACCAAACCCTAGAGGAGGTGGAGGGGGGGCACCAAATGGAGGAGGCACTCCAGGTGGAGGAGGTGGGGCAGGACAGCCAGGTAAAGGAGGTGGAGGGGGCGGGGGAGGGGGTGCTGGCACCCCAGGTGCTGGAGCAGGGGGTAGAGGCCCAGATGGCAATGACTGTCCTACATGGGCAGAGGACAGACCCACAGGTACAGCCCCAAACTGGAAAGGCGGAGGAAAAAAAAACATTATGTTGGGACTTACACATAAAATACAAAAAAAATGTTTAGGCAAAATGTGACAGCTGAGGTTTTTTCTCAAAAGTTAAAGAAATGGTCTTGTAAGAACAACTTTGCCAATTACTGTCAATGCCCAGAACGAAGAAGCACTGTTGAGTTGCCCTGAAGGGAGGCACTCAAATACAAGGCCGACTTTTAATCACCAAATCTCCATCACCAAATCCCACTTTATTATACTGATCAATACTATGCATACAGCACATTATTACTAAGTCATTCTGGTGCACTGGTGACAATACCTTTTACTTAATTAAATTACTTCTGAGTTTTCAGGCGTTTTAATTATAATAAAAAGATAATGGAAAGCCAGCATTATTTTTTTTAACGCTTTACTGACACTTCCTGGCCAACAAATAAAACTATGGTTGTACTGAAAGGTGTTAATGTGTCTAACTGTGTGAATGTAATTTCATTGTATTTTTATATCAAAATCTAATCATTTTGTCTTCCTAAAAAAACCAAATGTAACACATGCTTACGTAAGCATGAACTGTCCATGCCATTCACCTGTCAATCAATCTTCAACTTTTAGCGACACAGAGGCAAAGATTCTTTTGTTGACTAGCTACCAGAGTGGAGTGTTTCTGGTGTTAGGACCTCACTGATTGTTGTATAAAAACACGGCATTATCACTTGTAGAAAAGCACAAATTTATCAGTAATTCAGGTGACACATTAAATATTGTCGGGTTTTCTTTCTGGTGTCCTCTGGCTGCTATGCTCTTTGCTCGTGCAGCTAACGTTGGCCAACGGGGTGGCAGAAGCCAAAATCGGCAATTAAAACTCCTCAGTACTTTATTCCCTGACATTAAACTGCCCTATGTCGGCATTGGATGCTGTATTAAGTCCCAGTCTGGACATGCTTTTTACTGAGAGCTGCCAGGTGGCGCAGAGTCAGCTAATAGGGCCGCTATAGTTGCTGGACTGGGGGGATGTAACACACAGGAAATACGTAAATGCGTAGGAACAAACAGCTCTCTGATTCCCATTTCACCTGGACTTAAAAATAAAAAATTATAAAATAAACGTAGAATTTATGATGAAAAAACAAAAACAAGTGAAACTGGAAAGGAAAAAAAATGGAAGCAGACAAACTATAGCATCTACCAAGTGTGTAGCACAGTATGCTTTCCTCTCTAACACCACTGAGTTACGAATAATGGAGGCGTGTTCTCTCAACCATCCAGCAGAGGCCAAATGCTCATAAACAGTCTAGATTCTTTCCAGAACATGGCCACAATAATTTGTTTTTTCCAAAGCTAAAAATCAAATGTTATAACCGGGGCTACAAAGCTTCGTAAATTGTATCATACAGAGAAAATGGCTTATTGATCCATGCACCAGTTTTAGATTAAAGACGCACACTAAAGGTCAGCCCTGGGCCCTTATTCTGCCACTGCCTCTAGAGGGAAGGACACCTTTGCTGAATTAACAATACTGTGTGTTGGTGAGAGTTAGGCTGACACAGACAGACAAAGACAGTGAGACTAAGTGTGTGTGTATGTACCCGCCTTGGTTAAATGTTCCACCGTCATTTGAACCATGGTACTATTTGAGTATTCATTCTGTGTTTGCTCTCTTAAATTGAAAAATTATCGGGAAAATAAATAGGAAGTTCTCTTTCCCCCTCAGAGTGTGTAGTTATCTTGCAGTGCCAGGGCATGGGAGCAACTCTCTGGAGTGTTGGGGGGGGTTGAGGAGTGGCCCAGCAGTGAAGTTGAAGGGGGTTGTCAGAATAAATTGCTTTTAGAACAATTTCCTCTTTTGGGATAAAGATCAGAGAATCAGAAATGGCCAACATGGAGGACTGGTCAGTGTTCTCATTAGACTTAGTGTCAGCTAGCCAGTGGAGCAGCCTCCATGTCAAACCAAACTGCAGGCTCCAGTGAATAAAATCCCCACCCTATACACACCATGCAGCCCAGAATAAATAGAACGTCTCATAATGGAAAGTAAAAAGAGAAAGCTGAATCATTCCATGCTAGATTTAGGAGGGGTTGGTTGAATAATCAAATATAGTGTTTACCCACATCCCCCCCAAAAAGAATTAACACAATTTACAAAATTTGACACTGACAACAAAAATCAGTTATGTACCTGGGACCTGAAGGCCTGCAGCTCTGCTTGGAGTTCAGCTATTTTTTCTTCACACTTAACCAGCTGAGTTTGTGCCTCCTGTCTGCTTAGAAACTCCTCATCAAACTAAAAAGAAAAACACCAAATGAATCACACAAGCACACACTGATATTGAATTAATGTAACTGTGAATTAACATAAGCAGGGCTCATTAAAATTGTTTAAGCCTAATGGTATAATTATCTTATATAATCAACACTCATTTTACCTTGATTACCTTCATTTACTGATTTAATTTTAACCTTTTGTAAAACACCCATTCATTAATAAAACCCTTACCATATACAAAAGTCAATCAATCCCTTCTAATCAGGATCTCTAACCTGCTGATACCCCAACTTCAATTAATCACAGCAGCCAATCCGTTTCACTTCACACATTTCACATGTTATAATTCATCTACAGTGATACAGAAACAAGACATTCTTCTACATCACGGTTGTCATGCTGAAAAAATCTCTGGCCTATGTACAATTGTTACTGACAACAAGTACTCTTTACCTGGCATTACAAAAATGTTTGGTTCCCCTGGTTTCCAATGTTTGTAATATGGAATTTTAGCATTGTAAAGCAAGATGTCACATTCAGTCTCACTTTCAAAAGAGATCTGTTTTTTGCGTTTGGAAAAGAATCAGAGAGAATTTTAAATCCATGTCACTTACTGCTAAGTGATGACTGCACTTTTTACAGTTTGTTTGGCTCTGAAGTTACTGCTATGGTCTTGCTTTGGGATTTTTACAATACAAGCCACAAGGAATTGTCAGTGTTATGTTTACTTCATATTATTAATGTTTTATCTAACCAGATTTTATGGAACAAATTAGAATTAATGCCAGAATGCCTCAGTAGGTTTTGCTTTGTCCAGGTGGATAAGCAGTGGTATGAAAATTGTTCTTGTTTTTTTGTCAATACTTGCCTTCTGTGCCAGTTCTGAAGCTCTTTGTTCATACTCATCAGTTCGAGCTTTATCTACACACACCTCTGAAAACAAAAGGCAGCCAAAATAAATAAATCAAACAGAATAAAAATCATTTACGTTTTATTGAAATATCTAGAATGTAAATAAACTGCTAAAGGGATGTGACTTGCCTAAGAGGTGGCTGAAGTCCACATCCAGGCGCTTGCGGTAACTGAAGTCTGGGTCAGTGCCACTTCGGTGTAGCACAATTTGAGACACACACTCCTCAATGATCTTAAAGTACTGGGGCCTGAAAGTCAGGACAAATGAGAAAAAGAAAGCCAAGAGAAAAAGACAGAGTTGGAAAAAAAACATACATAATTTAATTTGATTCAATATCATACTTTTAATCTGTTGGGTGTATGCAAGAGCTGTTATCTTGACACATTCAGTTGTGAGTGAACTGTCTGCAGCAGAAAAAGCAATGCTAGTGAGAAGATATAACATGTGGCATATCCAAACAACTTCTACAGTTCTACCTGTGCAACCAGTCATTGCATCATATACCAGATATCTTAAACATAGCAGGAGGCTCCAACTCAGAGCTTCCTACCATCGTGATGTATTATTGAGTCAAATCAAAGCCTGATGTTCATACAATGGGTGAAATTTGGAGATCACCACATCAATTTTACATGCTTGAACAACATCATTAACATTGCTGACATGAGAATCAGATCTATCCAGAACCCTACTTTTCTCCAACACCTAACCTACATCCCCAAATAGGTGGACACAATAATAATATGTGAAGGAAATAGACCGCAGAAAAAAATCTTGAATCTTGGTTGATTCTTGATTCTTGACTTCATTAAGACCAACCTATTAGCAGTTGCAAAATAATTGCAGTTAAATTGTTTCAAATGGTTCTCTGAAATGTGTTGATCACAGAATAACCAAGGGCATGCCACAATAAGAAAAGGGGCTTATTATAATTCAACAACAGATGACATGCAGGTCTGGGAGCCGCAGAGCTACTGCAAGTTAAATGGAAAGTATCTGTTTGATCTGCTCATTATCTTCCAACAATGCCACTGAGAGTCCAAATCCCTTCTATACCAAATCATTAACTAATACTTTAAGACTTATAAACAGTGATAAGTAAGGGATACTGTCTGCCACCTCTTTCTAGAACAATGCTGAGACTGGATCTGACATGATGAATACCATTTGTGTGATTCTGAAGATGGGCTACACGATGGAATCATTGTTTGGATGACAAAAATATTAATAATCAAATGGAATAAGGCATGTTGTCAGTGAAGCTGCTGGTGTTCCTTTCATTACTCTGTGACTTTTGGACCCCTGTGTACCAGGGGACTATATATACTTGACATCAAGGGTATCAAGAATTAAATAACTAAAGATCACAACACCAGTCTGTCGCGAGAGATGCAGTGCATTAAAAGGATCACACACAGATATGATGCCTTATGTGCCAGTGAAAAAATAATGATATCAAGAGTACGGAACTGCCTTAGGAAAAGTTGTGAAGGTTTTCTAAAAAAAACCCAAATACTTGACGCCAACTAAAAACAGTCTGAAGAGCTACACCATATGGTGTGAAAATGAGGGTAAAAACATGCAATCATCCATGCCATTTAACTACAAATTTTTACAATTAACACATTTTTAAATTTTAGACATTTTACACATTTTTACAGTTAATATATATATAGAGTGTGTGTTCAAGAGTGTGTCCTGATTTGCTTTAACAATAATGAATGAATGTCAGCTCTGAGTCAAAATGTACACCTAGGTTTCTTGCAGTGGGTTTTAAGAATGCCATGCCTCACAAGTGTATGTAGAAAAAATTCAAACTGAAACTTAACAACAAAACAAAAGTTATTAAAAGACACTGTTGTGAATGCACACACGTTTTCTAAGTGTATCTATTTATCCACCTCTGCACTCAAGCACTTCTTTTCATACATTTAATAGCTGCTTAGGCCGTGAGTGGTCATCACAATTTCCAAAGCCCATGTTGACAGTTTTAAATCACTTGTCCAAAGTACAAAGATTTCCAGGTTACAGTAATAAAAAACAGAAAAGGGATGAATTCCTCACATTGTTTCTTTACAACAAAGAGCCATAAAAATGTTAATATTTTTGCTTAATAAATGACGTAACCCATAAAACCATTATCCAAATGGTTAAAACCTGTTAAAACCTATATATACTGTCAATGGTTACAACGTCAATTGAGTAATGACCATTCTCATCTATGTATTAGTATTTCAGTGGAGAAGTACTTAACCCCTAGTGTTATAAGTGTGATAAGGACAAATTCTAAAATAACCCTGTTTAGCCGACAACTGTACATACTTGAACAAGCAAGACAAAGGTCAGATTTAAGCTCAACTGTTCACACAATTTGCTTTCAAGAGAAAAAGCTTTTAGGATGAGAACCAACAAATGTATTCCTCTGTAACGCTATCTTGGTTAAAGAGTTTGGAGGGTTTGCTGAAGTGGACACCTGCCTAGACCCAGTATAAAAGAGCAGCTGACATTATAACGTTACTCTAAACTCTAATAGCATCCAGGCCCAATTTCCACACAGTGGGAAACAGTTACAAGCTGTGGTTGTGCTATTGTAAACAGAGAAAAAGAAAAAAGTATGAAATGCCTCTTGGCCCTGGAAGTGTCTATGTGTCCATATGTGCAGTAAATATTTGTATGCTGTTTTCAATGGTTACAAAATAGATGGCACCAATGTTGGTTGTCTTAAAGACACCAGTGTTAACGTCATAGTAATTTCAGATGGAGAAAATTAATCAGACAGAGCCAGGGGAGAGTGGCAGACACTTTGAGTGTTGTTTTTGGGTGGGAGAAAAACTGCAGGTGATGCATTTCATATTCTTCAGATTAGAGCTCTATCTTTTGATCAATCTAAGGTTTAACTCACACCCAGCTGTGAGTGAACCAACATAAAATAAGCCTTTGAAAAGTACCATTAATAGGAGATGAGTAATACTCTGGAGCCATGGTTGCTGTAGATGGCTTGGAGATGAAAGAGACAGCATTCTCTTTGTTAGCCAATGTCACTGAGATGTTTTAAGGCAGAAGGAGTGAGACCTCTAAAAAAAACAAAAGCTCTTCACCAATGTACATCATTACCAGTGTTCAAAAGGTGCTTAGACTTTTGCTTATGTGTGCATTCTGCTAAAATGTGAGATTAAATATATGTCAATCATCTTTATTATCACACAGACTCTAAGTTATATTACTGTTCTCATGATTAGAGCTAAAAGGCTCTGGTCTATAAAGAAAATAAAAGAGCTAATGAATAGAGCTGAAAAAACAAGAATCACAGAAAGTCCAAGTCACAGACACGTACACACTGAGGGTAAATGAGAGAAGAGCATAACACCGGGGACACACAGGAAGCAAAGTAGCCTGGCTGTTCACACCAGAAGTGCACTTCTCTGCACTGGTCAACAATCGATTCTGTTCCTCTGCTCTTTTCTAATCACATATAAAGATGATCTTCATAATAACCTCATGAATTATGTGTTCATGGAGAAGCAGGGCATCACTTCTTCTGCAACAATTAAGGAGCATCGCCTTGTGAAATATGAGAAATAGGCATGTAATTTAAGAAACATAATCACAAAAAGCAGTGATATTATTTCTAAAAAAATAAAAAGGAATGGGCTGATTTTGATATTTCATCACATGGGGGTAAAACGAATTGGGAGGAATTTAAACTCCAGCAGAAGCCAGTTCATCATTTATTAGAATCAGTTCATTCATATCATATACCGGGTATATCAATAATATTGTTTATAAAAGATTATCAGTGTGCTTTTTTGCCAGATTCCCTCACAGCGCACAGAAAACATAAAACAGATGCCAAAACTATTGATGCAAATCGCAAGCTGGCCACGAAGCTCAGCACTGCGGCGCGTTCTTGTCTGAACGGAATTGGTTAACATGGACGCTGAAGGCAGTGCTTCACAAGACTTCCACCTATTGTGTGTCCCCAGCGTAATGACGGAATTAAAAGAGGAAGACAAGGAGTAAAAAAAACTGCTTGCTTCATTACACGACACAGATAATTAAGGTTCTTTGTGTCTATGTGTGTTGTTGAGTTTTACCTGATCAAGTAGTCATTGCGTATAAGCATCAGGTGCTGCAGTATAGAGAGGAAATAGGGCTCTGCATTGCTGTCCTTCACCATGCTCTGCACAATACTGAATACATCCCCCGCATCAGTGCAGAGAGTCAAGGACTTGTAGGTAAACTGAAACACTGCATTTACACACAAAAAAATGGAAGCTACTGAAATAAAAAAGAAATTACAGACGTATGTGTTTAGGAATAACTAACCTTAGCTGGATTCCATGAACATTTCGAATGTATATTAGCTACATTTACAGGAAACCTCAGAGTGCTCCTGTTAGTAATAATGAAAAGGATATTCCAGCTCGCTCTTGATGTCTTCCAGCCTGTGAGAGAACTCTATCATGTCCTCTTCTTTGTGCTCCTCAAATACCTTCAGCTGAATGTCAAGGGCATCATTCCTGATGGTTGTCAGTTGCTACAGATGGATTAAGGTAACAAAAAAGGAACAAAAGGTAAAACAGATTCAAAGAGATAGAAGAATTAAACAAAATAAATCATAGAAAACGGCTCAACAGCCTCTCCAACATCAGCACTGAAAAGAAAGAATTAAGCTCAACTGAAGAGAAGGAGCTCATTCTAAACACTATTACTCATCATGTTAAACAGGTGAGGGGACCCACACCTCACTTTAATTTATGTTTTCTTGGCAGCTACAGCAACATTGTTTACAACAGATAAACATGTTAGGTAGATGGTATAAAAGCCAGAAGGAAGATTATTAGTCCAGGCACTAGAAACTTTATTGGTGTCTGGGTGCTGGCACAGACAGAGGACGTTGAAAATCTCTTCTGGGTTTCATTAATTATTTGCTGGAGCAAATCTACAATATTTCACTTAAGTGGACAACTCATTTAAATATTAATACAAGGTGAGTGTAAGTTTATATATATTGTGTGTGTGTGTGTGTGTGTGTGTGTGTGTGTGTGGTTATGTTGTGCTTACCGGCAATATCTCTTTCAGGCCACAGCGCATAAATTCATTTCTGATGTGCAGCCTGAAGTCCAGCTCATCAGGAGATGTTACTAGTGCATTGATGAGCTGCATGCATGCCACCTGCAACATGAAGGGTACACAGCACAAAGACACATTGAGAGAGAGGAGAGAGAAGATTGAGAGAGAGAACCAGAGAAAGAGATGATGGACTTCTTCTTCCAGAACTTGATGAAAAGCATGCCGGCATGCATTCTAAATGAGTTATGTCCCTTGGAAGCAGAGGACCATAACTAATGCATGTCTATTTTCTCCAGTCACCAACTAGGGGGGCTGATTTTAATATTAATGCAACAACTGCAGACCCATACGCACAAAACTAACAGTCAATTTAAGGGCAAACTCGCTCTTTTGGAAGCTGTTTTTCACTCCCCTCTGAGTTTGGTTTACTGCACAGGGAGCACTGCATCCTGTGACTCTTCAACTAGCCGGGCAAACAGACAGAAAAATCAATTATTGATCAGTAAAGCAATCCACTCATGTGTGAAAAGAGTGTATGGCAATGCTGGAGCTCAGGGAGGATATTCAGATCTTTTAAGGTTCATTGTCAATTTGATAACACATGCTTATTTTTGCTATGGCACTTAGTAATTACCTGACTTCAAAGAAACATTTTGATATTGCAATACAGGTAGTTAACATAACATATAATAATTATTTGAATGAGTTCCAATATTCCACATATGATTTGGTACATAATAAATAGGGGGAGCAAGAGAGATCACTGCAATGTTTTACTTTATTTTTCATGAGCAAAACAGCATAGACGCAATGTAAGTATTTGATGTCTGTAATTTGATTCCAGCTCATCAGACATTCTAATAATTTATAAATGGATGTTACAGGTATCTATTACTAGCTTTGTATTCAGAACAATGCATACATTAGGTACCACACAAATACGTAAAAACACTCTGAAGACTTTAAGAGAAAAGTTGAGCATCTTTGATTTTGGTGGGTCTGCATGTGTCAATTTACACTCATTGTCTAAATGCACACATTCCCTAAGCCAAAGGCTGCCAGTGAAGAGTGTAAGTATGTTGTCAAGTAGGACAGAAAGCCTTTGGACACACATCGCTTTGCTTAGGATAACAGTATATGTGCTTTAACAATGCATGGGGTTAAAAGGAACTGTGCTATGTATTATGAAGTGGGAAATAAAACCAAGTATCAATAAAAGACAACTAAGTCCTTACAAAATTCCCAGTACAAAGGGTTAAGTTTGTAATGCCAAAGATGAGTTTTGTGTATTAAATGCCTCTGTATGAAGGAAATTATAGCTTCCAGTGCGCCCCCTCCCTCCCTTCATTCCCTCACCATTTTTCCCTGCTATTGAGTGTCCCTACAGCTTTGCAACTGTCAAAGGTAGTAACAGTAAACTCAATGCAAATAATACAGATAATACCACAGGGGGCAAAAAAGATACAATCTTTTAATTAAGTTTAGCATTGGACATTGCATACGCAAAGTTAAATGACCAAAGGAGGAAATGGTTGTACATGGCAGATTTTTATGATCACCGTGTGTGTAAGCGTGTGGTAGGTATTGGATGAATGATCACTCTCTTCACATCCCTCAGCTACCAATTAAAAATGCAGACAACATACTTTAATCATGAATTACATTAGTGTGACACAAAAAAGCCCATGTGCTATATCTCAAAAAGGGCATGTATCAGCAGGGAGAAGATATATCTGAAAGATTATGTAAAGGAAGTGCATAAGATGATGCAGTATGAGACTGGTAAAAACTTCTCAAACTACAAAGTGGATGTTTTATAATATATTACCGTTGGTTTAAAATGACCCATGTGTAGGATTCAGTGGCATCTAGCTATGTAATTGCAACACCCTTGCCCCACCCTCCCGTTTCAAGTGTGTAGTAGAAACTTTGGTGGCCACAAAAAGCAAAAGGACCCATCTATTCATTATACTTTATATTGAATATTTCATTTCAGAGTAATTTGAGGGAAACAATATGTCAATAGCTGTACATGTACTTTGCACTTACTTGTAATTGAACTGAGCGATCTTGTAGTCCCTGCACAATGGGACTGAACCTCTCAATGGCTCGCCATTCCCCTGCTGTGGTGATGGCTTCAAGGACCTTTTCCAAACTAAATGAGAACATGAAATACATGAGCGAAGAATTGGGGAAAAAATGAAAAGATATTTTCATTTACAGGGATGGTGACCATGAGCTTATTCCACCATATTAAAGGTTCCTTTCTTGTCAATTTGTCAAATTGAGAAGCATTAAACGGATAAGATGTGTAATGAACTGCGCAATTTCAAAATGTAGATTACCTAGTGTTGTAATACTGGAAAATGCATATTGTATTTTTGAAAATTACTTAAATGTTAATAAAATAAAAATAAAAATATCTCTTATGATTAAATTTTTTTTATCGTTTTTGTGAAATCAAAAATGTCTTCCAACCCTAGCAAAGCAGTAAGGCATTGATATGTTGACAGAATGAATGAGGTCAGAACATACGTGTTCTCTTCGCCCACAATGCAGATGGCTGACAGCAGCTTTACCACGTCAGTCATCATGGCAGACTGGGTGGGATCAATGGCTCTTGCCAGTAGCGCAAGACTTTTCTCCTCCCCCAGAATTCGATCCAAGCCATACTGCAGTAAACACAAACCCAAATACACTGTAATGTTGACCATTTGCAACAACAAGAATACAATGTCTTGTGAAACAGTAATCTTACTAAGGACACAGGGTGAAAATCAGATTGACTAGCAAGGTAATTCATTATTAAACAGATTTAAAATACTTCTGTTATGTGAGTTTTACTGTATGTTGTATAATTAAGCCAACGAAGAGAAAAAACGATCTTGTTACAACACAATCATTTAAAAATAAAATATTATATACAATACTAGCATGTGAGAACAGCATTGTACAATAAATAACACTTTCAGCAACAATCACAACTGTAATTATTGCTGAACAATGACAATTCAGGTTTATCTACTGTTTGTGGTTAATTTGTACAGAGAAAATAGTTCCATCAATGTCTGATTTTGTTAGGAAATAAAATGTTCACAAATAATATATTGAAATAGATTTGTCTTTGTATAGCAATGAAAGGGACTTTCATTTTACCAGGGTTAGGATTGGGCGTCAAAAAGTTGTTGCTTTTTCTTGCTTTTCTTGTCTGATTTGAAAAACAATCAGAAAAATACTTTTGGTAGAAACACCAAGCATTTATTTAGCTTTGTACTTTTGAAGAGGCAGTTGTTTAACCAAGTTATGTGGTATTCAGAATTTGTCCTTGAATCTGAATATTTAATGTGCAAATTGATACGTTGTATTTTTACTTTCATAATAAATATTACTGTTCATACTTCATGAGAAGAGTAATAAAACATAGTACTTGTGCACTTTTGTCCTGAAAAAAATAAAATACTGTTTGTTGAACTTCCAGAAATAAAAGAAACATGAACTGTGAACTGTGTCAGTCTTCTGTTAATGCTCTAAGAATAGCTGACAATGCTATTGTCTATCATCACATTTTAAAACACACATTTCCGATGTATATGCTACTTTTACAATTTTTTAGTTGTCTATAAACTTTGAAAACCCAAGCAGATCTACTAAGTCCTCATATCTATATATATATATATATATATATATATATATATATATATATATATATGCAGTTTAGCAAACATGTCAAATCTAAATTGAGAAAACAGGTTTTCTTGACACACTTAAGTTGTTCAAAGGGAGGTTTCACAGTGTAGTAACTTTAAGTATGACATTATCATGCCATTGGTGACAGACAATAGAAAATATGCAACTGTGTGACTTGACACAGGAAGGCAGAAGAGAAAAAGGCTGCACTGGCAGCTGGCAGGGAACACCTGTCTTCTTGGCATTGTGGGTACATCCCATCCCAAGATGCCTCTCTAGCCAGGGAAAGGTCTGGGCTGACAGAGAGGCCTACGGGTAAATGCTGGCGTCTGGCGCCTGTTGAGACGCAGGATTACATGAGACCTTACAGCATGCTTTGCGCCAAAGTGGCTGTATATCTGTCTCCGCTGGGTTTTAGCTCCATGTGGCAAGATTTTTTTTCTCTATAGCTACTGTGAACTAACGGCACAAAAGGAAAAGCTGAAGCATTGTGACAAACAGCTATTTCAACAGAACATATTTTATCACAAGTGCTTAGGTCTGGGTGATTCATTATTGTCTACTGACCTTAAGAGGAATCATTTCATCACAATATTATCATATTGTTTCATTGTTTTGCTAAATTATGTTGCTTAAATAATTTGCACAATCTGTAATTAAATAACAGCAAAATTAGTTATGAAAGTTTTTGGAAAACATTCATTGTATTTTCAGGTGCATTAAGGGGTAGGTTGCAAATGACAGCTTGTTTGAAGAGAACCCATTAACCAAACATAATGACATGACTTAAATTAGATTCGGTACATGTTTGGTTTATTGCCCTGCCCTACTTTCTATGTTCTTTCGAAATGCTATTCTGTTTCTTTTGCTTCTATAGGTAATTTGTAACACTTATCGTAATTTGTGTTGAATGGCTGCCTGTGTCCCTTTATGTCTACTGCTAAGACTGTTTGGACCAAATAGTCCAAAGAATCTGTGACTCTATTTTTCAACAATCCTGTTGCATTTCCAATGCATCTGTAGAACCATAAAGATTAGGCAAATAGACCAACAGCAGATTTGTTGGAGATGCAGTTTTCACACACAACAAAAACAAGACAGAGACACACTGTTCTGTGATTTATGGTTATTAATTTGTGCTGTAGCACATTACCACGTTGAAACAATCAGCAAATAAAGATGTGTTTCTTCTCGCTTACTCTCTCGATGGCTTCTTTCCCTCAGTTACTCTCTCTATTATTCACACACTCTCTCTCATAGCTCCTGAGCCATCAGAAAGTACTAATTCCAGAGTGGGGACCAGGCACTGTAGATCTGTGCAAATGTGTCACACAGTGTTATCCAGATTTCATCACGACATTAGTAAAACTGCCCCCAGTTGTCTCCATATTGCTATGATGCTGCTCTTCTCCTCCACTGGTCATAAGTCCTTTGTAATTGAAATCCCAGCTTCCTAATTTGGTAATTGCGTGAAAACACTAGATGTCAGTGTGGATGGGATTGAAATTACCCTGGGAGATCAGACTCAGCTCAAACTGCAGGAAGTTATTTCAAATAGATATTTTTCCCTAAAGGTAAAAGGACAGAACTGACATATTAATTATAGGGTGTAATCCTAATAACATGAATGTAGCAATAGTAAAATGATGTCTTTGAAGACACCTTGTGGAAGTACACCCACCACCACACCTGTCACTTTATAGAAAGTTCGCAAACACAAATAACATAGATGAAAAAAATTCCCAGAACTATAAACACACATCAAATCACTACATTACTTTACTGATTTCAAGATCAGAGAATACAAGTTTTTTTACTGAATATATAAACGATTACAACAGTAAAACAAATTATAACTAAAAAACATTGATCCTTGTACTTGTTTTATTTAATTCAAATACCTGTTAAGAATGACACCCATAATTTTAGGTGAATAAAAGTACTATATTAATGTTAAACAAAGTGATATATCAAAAGGAAATTTACTTACATCCAAAATTTGGAAACATTATCAAATGGGGTTACTTACAAAAAACATCTCTTGTCATTACCTTATTGTTCATGAAGGCTTTGAGACACTGGACAACTTTATGTTGGTTCCTTTTGTCAATCTTCTCTTGCCTGGGGAAACAAGACAAGGATGAGCAATTAATCTCTGATGTACAGCATGAAGACTAAAAATGATATACAGGGTGAAAATGAATGTACATTTTTATATTCAGATGAAGTGTGTAAAAGCCACTCAGAAAGGTAAGAAAGTGCTGATGACAGAGAAGAGTTTTAAGAAGCGTTCTGATAACTGTCCAACTGCCATATATAAACATATATATTTTTTATGAGTAAATGTGGGGTTTAAATATAATATTTTGTAGAAATGGCTAAACAACTTGGTCTTGCCGCTGTCTGGAAGGAGTCTGGAAGGAGTCTCTCCATTGTTTGTTGCTTCAGTGCAGCCTTTACCCGAGTTACCTGAATGAACTGTCTGTATTCTGCTGATTTATTTCCGTTTTGCGCGGATTACATTCATTAATTACTCTTATTGTTTATTTTGTTGGCCGGGCTTTTGTTGCACTGGCAGTGGCGTGTTGAGTGTGGCTGTGTCGGATCTCTACTGCCCTCTCCTCTGTCTGTGGTGAAACGCTGCAGTCGGGGCGGGGCTGCCTGTGCTCCCATGCTGACGCAGAGCAGTGTGGAAAGGCAGACAGAGGAAGTTGACGATGGCTACACTGTGCATGAACGCTTTGTGAGTAAAAACAGCTGTACAACAGCTGACATAAGACATTGGTTTAGGTCATTAAAGCTCAATATAGCCAATACGGATCAGTTAATAAATGCCTTGATCAGTGCCAAGACCCATCGTTGAGATTGGTCGGGATCATCCCTAGTTATTATGAATACACAAATAATAAGTGAGATAAGCAAGGGTCTGCACAGGAATAAACCTAAGAGAATGCATAGACTTACTTCTTGAACAGCAACCTTTCCAAAATATCCAGCAGCAGTCCAAGACCCTCATGCCCGAAGCTCTGCACCCAACTGAAACAACAAACATTAAATCAATATCCAACAGTGTAAGACTGACAACTGACAACAACACTTTCATACTCATCAACCACTCTGGAAAGCTTTGAGACAGAAAAACACATGTAGAATTCAGTACTTTCTGCTGAGGAGAAAGGCAGCAGTAGTAAACGTAGGATTGCAGGCCTGGTAAAAAAAACTACACTGAAATATTACACATAGAGGGAAAACAGCTAAAGGTGTAATGATACACTCAATTCACAATTAAATACAATTCACTATACTGGGTTCAAGATACAATTTTATCATTTTTTTTTAAACAAAATGAGACTGAAGACAAATTATGACAAAATATACTTTCTTTATTAAATTATAGAAACCTTTTTTATTTCTGAGGTAGGGTATAAACTAAAAAAAATAATGCAAATCTTTCATTTTGTGAAGTGAAACTGACATCTTTGCGCCTTGATACTTTGATTGATATCACTATTTATTTTTCATCTCACCAAGTTGAACCTCCACAGATTTGTGTCACAATTTAACTGTCTCGTGATATATCTTTACATTCCTACAAACAACAAAGCACATCCAGGCACAGTTAAAGCTATTAAAGTTATTTGTATATATTGTATAACCTGACTGATACTGATTTGAGGACGACACCCATATCAATATTTGAGAGTTTACAAATCTAATAACAATATGAATATTATTAACATAAATACATGATAACAAACAAAAAGTCTTTGATAGGGTTCCCTTATTTTTTTTAACTGTGACCAAGATGTACCCAGCAGGACATTTTATAGTTGAAAAATAATCTTGCCAGTTCTATCTGGTGGATATATCATATCATGATGGTTTCAGTAATCTTAAACTTCCTGAAACATATGTTTAGTCTTTCATTACTGCAAATACATGTTACTTACACTGTTAAGTCAACATATAGGCATGTATGTAAAACTCTGCAACCTAACATACTAGTCTGCATCATCTGTGATGTAAAAGTATTATCCTAAAATGCTGAGAGAAAGAGTCCTTCCTGATTATTTTAACCAACAAAATATACATTATATTCATTAGGCAAGAATTGTTCAGAGGTGGTAATGAATTCTTGCTTGGGCTGCTAAACCCACTCGGGATCTAAATATTGTGTGAGAACTGTTAAAACAATGCAGAAAATAGGACATTGATTTACATAACCCAAAGACGTCCTTTAGCTTTTCCACTTCCAGATTACAATGATTGTTAAAACTGTACTTAAAACATATGGAAGAACAAGGGTGTGTATGCGTGTGTCTGCGTGTGTGTGTCTGCGTGTGTGTGTGTGTGTGTGTGTGTGTGTGTGTGTGTACACAATAATGCAGCATAGCATAACAAAAAAGGTTTTATGATAACACTTCTTGGGTACGATCAAAACAGAATGGCAATCAAGATAAAAAACTGTTACTTTTCTTGTTACTGACAAATCATATGCTGGAGATCCAAGGTTTTCATCCAAGAGTGACAGTGGGAATTGGGACAAAGAACAGCAACTGCTTTAAAAGAACAAATACGTTTTAACTCTGATTTACATAAGGAGCACAAATAGAAACAAATACTACATTGTGAGATTAGGCAAAAACCTTTAGGTATGCAGAAGACAGGCAAAGACAGCATGAGTGAGATTGTGAGCGACTGCACCTCCCTCCTGATTGAAACTGAATAACATTTCTGAACATTAGCATTCAGTGTTTGTACTGTTCTAATCAACAAGCTGCATGCCTCCCAGCATCAAATCTACAGAAATTCTCAAGGTGACAACATAAAATGGGAAGCTGTTATCTGAATTTAATTTCTTGAAAAGGAGTATGGGGGTGGTATGTAGATGTATGTCCATGAGTTTATTTGTTTGTAGTTTGTAGTTGTATAAAAAACTATAGAAACCTCTAACAGATAGTAGATTTGTTTTTGTTAAATTTAACTTACATTCACATTTGTCACACAGGTGACAGGAGATTTCCATTTAACATTAACGCACAAAAAGGCAGCTCTAGTGATGATTTAGGTGTGTTTGATTTTAGTACGACTCAATATATATATATGAGGGTAGTTGTTTCAAATAAAGCCAAGAAGGGACTGTTTTCTTAATCCCATCACTGCAAACATTCTGACCATTCAGGCCCCCACAACAGAGACATGGTCGCGTGGGGTCCCGCGGGTCAGTCTTCGAGTTTCAAAGACACATCAAAGTTTAATGTTCATGGCATAAAGTTAGAATTGATTTACTTTAACTTAAAAAATACCAATGGACCACTGCAACCAGCTGACACTGTGGCAGGTAACTAACTTTGCAAGTTAACTTTGGTGCTTTAAATTCTATAACTTCATAAGGATAGAAAACTGGTAGGGTGATATAAACAGAGACTCACATACTATTTCAAACACTGCAATTATTGTTACAAAATGTTTGAGTATAAAATGTGTACAGTTGCACTGTAAATATCATGAGACAGTGAAATCGGTTGACCAATATGTGAGGACTCAAATTGGTAAGTGGAACTGTAATACTCTTTTTAAACAGCAATAGACACAATATCTACTTTTGACTTTGATCATTTGAGGTCCTACGTCACTCGCATCAGTTGATGAATTTTAAGAATTAAGAGTTGGACAATCATCTGTATTTTCTGATCGTTAAAGCATCATTGAATGTCAGCTAATAATTTGAGATGTCACAAATCAGTAACCACAGTACTTGCAATTTCAGTTTGAATGATACTTATATATACACATTATATACATTTTTATAGTACAAAGAATAATATAGTGGGAATGCCAGATCTGGACTTTGTGTCCAAACTACACCCTGTAAGCTGGATGTAGCTTTTGATGAATTTGAACTTCTAAGTTTTGAATAATTATGTAGAAAAACTAAGGTGTGTAATGTCTTATGTAGACATAGCATGTAAACATAAGGCATTCCTTGTACAAACAAATAAAAAAAAACATTGATTTTGAAATGCCCGTAAACTCAGTGAGAGTAGAGTGGTTAATTTAACACCACAAAAGCTTAAATTCTATGTATTTATAAAAACCTTATACTTAACTGCCCTTGATTTATAAAAAGGAGGACAAGAGGGAGAGGAACAGTTTAGTCCTCCACATCATCAAGGTGTCAATTTACCCTACACTTCTCACTGAGCCATGGCCCAGGCCATTCTGGTTATAGAACAGGCAAGGCAGGGGCTTGACATGAGCTTCATTGAAATGCATAGCTCAGTGGCAACTGGATGCTGGTTTTTCATCATCAGTAGGTGAGGCAGAGAGAAAAGGAAAATAATCAGTTGATCTATAGCAGGAATTATTGCACAGAAAACCAACAGGCCTGCACTGTCTCCTGCAACAAATTTGAAAAACATCTGCCTTGAAACACAAGTGAGAAGTGGACGGGATAGTGGTCCATCTAACCTAACTGGCAGAACGTCATCCTGGTTCTAAGGGGCAACAAATTCTGGGAAAATATCTGTACAGTGTCTTCCCAGCTTAAAAAACACCAATGGAGGTACCCACAGGGTTGTGTGTTTAATAATGCCAGCTATATGTGAACAGTTTGGATCTCATTACTGGATTTATTATTGCATTGAAAGCATCAGGTCTCCAACACTAATCGAGGGGTGAACTTGAAAGGGCTACATGTATATGGTTGCAATTCTTTATGGTATATTAGTTGATAAACCTAGGGAATTTCTGAAGAGATTTTAGTTTGAATGCTCTATGTTGAAAGGCTGACACTAAGGAATGTATGAAAGATGTGGAATAATTTAAATTATATATTTCTATAGTACCATAGTAAGTAAATAATAGCAAAACAGTTGCATTGTAGTTGATAATATTAATACCCATAACAATTTTCAAAGAGGAATCAGTATTCATATTTATATAGTGACCCGTTTCTTTATCCTTGTGCCTTTTCGTCGTTTGTATTTGACATACCATCTGTCTAGACTGTAAAGTAATTAGTATTTTAAGTTCTGTGTGCTAATCTAGCTGGCAGGCCTTGGTTTTCATTAGATCTTAACATCCTAGCACACTCATTAGTTTTGTGGCATCCTACAGATAGGACACAGAGCAGACGCGTGTAGTATCATAGTGCAGCATGGCCTGGGTCCTTTCCATGTTTACACAGGTCACAGAAGAGATCTACACACACAGCGAAAGTTTTGGTGTGTGGTCTATTTCTTCCACCAGCATTGGCACATTCCACAAATATATGAGCGTGTGCAAATTAGCTACTGAGTTACATTGCACACTTGTTTTAACATATTTGAAGTGTCCGTGTTGATTTAGCAGCACTATCCCCAATACGTTTTTTCTCTTTTACTTTTATTTCAACGTGACCTGTTGAAAAATAATTAAATTTTATTAGTCAGTCTCGTTGGATGTGTATCAGATGGTGTAAACTTTTATTTGATATACAATGCAATAAACAGTAATTAACGCCCACTCAAAGGCATACTGTAATCACTCCTCCCCATCAACAGATGCAAAAAAGCACAGCAATATTCAACTGAGGGCTATCATCTCAGAAAGACTCCAGGAAACAGAGCGAGGGAAAGAGCATTAAAAAATAAGGAAAACAAATTCATCATCCCATTCCCTGGGAAACAAAAACAGTCATAAATCAAAGAGAAAAATGAGGCACCTTATCTGGCTAACTTCACAGCTAAGGTAGCTTGACTTCTAACGGAGTCTCATGAGAATGCCTCCAAGGTTCCCAGGCAGTGCAGCACAGTGTTGCACTCCGCTAAAGCGGTTATGAACCAGAAATAAAAAATTTACTTTAAAATGTTGTCCCGAGCACAGCAAGTTAACTGACTACAGGAAGATTCTCCAGAGACAGAGAGAAGGATGAGGCTAAAGTCACAGCAATGTGGGACATCTGATATAAAAATAGAGGAGGTGATTTCATTCAGTGAGGACTGACTGACGTCACTCTAGAAGATTGCCACAAACAACGATCGTAAAAACTAAGC